TCTTAATTTTCACCTGCTTAAATTCTTTAAGAAATTTCAAGTGCACCTGTGCGAACTACCTCAACTCAACAAAAATCATTTAGATCGAATGTTGGTCGTGGTAGAAGATTTCTTAACACTGATTGATCAGTTATAAGTACTGGTTCTTAGTTCTTTGTTTTGAAGGTGAGATGAATTTTTGCAAAGACACCAGCAATTGTTCAATATTGGAGATGTATTAAATCAACTGTAGAAATCGTTATTCTGGATATGCTGCTAACAATAGTCTTCTTACACGTGCTCAACTGTATTGAACTCTCGTCGTTGCCGGGACCACCTGAGAGTCTAAACGTATGGTCTCAGACAATAGAGTTGTAAGTGAACTATGCTCGATTCGGAACAACTATTTTTTGGTCATTTTACAAACATAATAGTGAGTACACGGTATGTTTCTGCTTCCTTCTATTTCAAAGAAGATATGAGAAGCTCAGGAAATAATGTGCTTTGATGGCGTTGTGTACAGTACGTTAAGTGTAAATGAATAATCTTGACGATGAGGATGATGTTAGTGAGAAGTGCTTAGGAAAAATCTATTTCAATCTGATTTTTAAAATGGCAATTTTGTGTCTGTGAAATTTACTTCCCATGCGTAGGATGAGCTCGATATTTCGTATTCTCTGAAGAATAATAGATTTAAAGTCTGAACAAAATGACTGCTCGAATTATTAGCTAGATAAATAAAGAAATGAAATAGAAGATTTATGATTTCACTGATGTCATCTTTACAAGAATATGCCACACAGGCTCAGTTTCATCGATCGATGTCCATTATTTTGTATACATACCAGTTTTCTTGCATGTGTGCGAGCCATTTCGCCGGAGAAACAATAATATCAGCACCACCTTCAACGACTCGTCCGATCTGATGACTAGTTTCGGTTCCCGATCTATCTGCAACGTACACATCATTCTGATTTCCTTTGATTATGTTATTTCGCTCTTCACTCACCGCCTAAGTTCCAGCGAAACAACTCTCTTTTGCTATGTTTGGAGTGGCGACCGTGAAGCATAAAGGATGACATGTTGATGTTTTGGCGAAGGTTTGACGATGAATGAAACTGTAGAAGCATCTCTGTAGCTTTTCTCAACTATATATAGTCTACCGAACAATGGCAAAAGATATCAGATTAAGTGACATCGAAAGCACTCTTATATTTCACAGATCATACAAGCTAACAATAGAACTGATTAGACTGAGCTGTTATAGCTCACGATGGTTATCAACAGAGTGCTTTTATATCAACAATAAATAAACACAAGGCAATATTTTAATGGATTTGATCCTATCGCTTAATTTTCTTTCTAAGTGTAGTTGATCGATTGTTTTCATCATCATCATTAAAAAAGTGTCAAAAGTGACATCGATACAACGAACAGATAGAAAGGCACGATAATGAATTCGGAAGTCCATCTTCGATTAGATTGTTAGAAAACTCCAGACTTGTTATAGACGATGTCAATAGATTTCACACAATATCAAACCATTTTTTGTAGATGCTATGGAATTCTTCTCATTAATAATACCAACTGTTTTGACATACTGACTAGAAACTAAGAAAACTATATCACGGAAAATTTGTTCAAGACTCAACAGATGCCAATACACAAAATTGTTCATTCAGACCATATTTAACAGAAGAGATTCCTGATCATAACGACTCTTTCCTACGTTTCATTAATATTCTGATATACGTAAGGTGAATGTTTATTTAGTGGAATGCTAATACAAACCGTGAATGAACCTGTTTTACTTACTCTAGTCGTCTGTTTTGTAGTGGATTACCATTTTGCTGAACACATGATCTATTTATGCGCTTTACTATCGAAATTGGGAAAACTTTTCCTGCTCATAAATAAAGCATAGTTTTAACAGTCGAATAGACAACTGTTTGATACCGGTTATTTGTGATATGTAAATCTCGGTACGAAACTGGCATACCAACCATTATCAATTCTCCGCATTCATGTTAATTTTGTTTAATATACCATGTTCGATTTGCAGCTTATCAACAAATACACCTTTCGTGTCTTCCAACTCTTCTTCGCGTATGTTCTTCTTGATAACAAACTGCTCCTGGTGCGAAAAGAGCGAGACATTACATCTGTCAATGTGTTTAACTAAAGAAAAAATAAATGGGAATTTTCGTAAGAGACAGTGGTCAAGAAAGTTCCATTATCATTAGCTCAAAAGACATAACAGATGCTCATGTTTTTCAATTAGCTATCACACTCTAAGTGTGATAATGTTTATCTTGTTCGAGTAGCATTATTGCATATGTGATTTATATATGGCAATCCACTTAGCTGATCGCCTTCAGATAGGACAACAAGTGCTGTGAAATATTACGATCATAGAAGAGAAGAATTTACAATTGATTTGTGTTTAGTCCAACGCAAACTAGAGTCTAGTTGCAATGATCGTTTTTTATCGACAATGCAGATAATGTGACGATTATGATTTTTGTATTCTTCGAAATCGGAAGGCAGTTAATGTATTTCACTGTTCGTAGACATGCATTTTGTAGTTTGAAACAATGAAAGTCAATATGAAACGTCGAGTAAATAATGATTAGTTAGTTTACGTAACTTACAGGAACGAAATAAATCGAATTTAGTAGTAAAAATTATTTTAAAATGAATAAACATTTTTTCTCGGCACAAGTCATTATTGCTTCAAACAGTTATCACCAAATGGTTTGAAAAATAGTTTGTTCAAACATCATCAGTAATGAGAAGATGTAATTGGGTCGTCATTCTTTGGTTTGGCTTCTTATTTTCGATCCATCAAAAAAAACTCTTTCATGTATTCACCGAAATTTTCTTCAATACGTTCATATTTTATTATGAAAAGACACTTGCCTTGGTGGTCTTAACAGAAAAGCAGTTAGTTTGATGTGAAACTTCATGCAAACCTTTGTTATTTCGAAGATTGTTAGAATGTTGTAGATCACAACCCTTTTTTCAGTAAGTCAAAATATAATTAGAACAAACTCGATCAAGCAAAGTAATCAAAAGAAACATAAGCTCAAATTTCAACGACCAACATCATTTATGGTATGTATCAATCGTCTTTTACATCATGGGTCCGAAACATCTACAAACGGTTTTCTTTTTAAAATATTTCATTCGATTTATTTCTATGAAAACAACACTACCACATAAAATAGATTGTTTTTCTGTAACATCTGACTCGAATTCTGCTGCTGATAGATATTTCTTTCACTATCCACTGTAATATCTTTCATTTTTCGATCAAACTATAGCCCTAATACCACATGAGCTTGACAATCATCTCTTGCGAAAATCTGCCTTTGAACGATTTGAATTATTTCTTTTCGAACTCATTCACGAAGACGAAAATCACGAATTTACCTTGATTGAGTTCCTCATACTGTTCTATCGTGAACAACTTGAAGATATTCAGCACAATTACAAAAAGTTTGGAGCAAAACCCAAACTACTGGTAGATTAATATCAATTTGACAGGTTGTTGATTAATGCACGCGTATTGTTCGGCTTATTGATTGCTTTTAAGATAAACTACGGTAATTACTAGGCCATCTGTATTGAGAAACAAAAGATTCAAGTTCACTTCATGATTGGTCGATAGAATTGATTGGATAATATTGAATTGAAAAAAAGACGGAGAGAGAGAAAAGAGAGAAGGAAAAAGAAGAATAACACGGCGCATCCATCTACCTATAAAAGGACGAGCAATAGCTACTAGATTTCATTTTCCTTGCTTTACTTGGCCTCGATCTTCTTCAACGATACAAGATATTCTTGGTATGGCTATTGTTCGGTCGATTATTCAAGTATGTGTTGCTCATCTACGTACAATCTATTTCTTTCAGACAAAATGATTCTATAAGAAACAATGATCCGCTACGGAAAAATTATCTTTTAAAGAAGTATTATTTTATTTCAGTAGTTTTGTAATGATTACAGAATGAAATTATTGTTATCGCATTACATCAGCTTCGAACAAAGTGAACCATAGTTGCTACTTTTGCGAATAATTCTATACTTTTGAGTGATATAGTTAATGCTGTTTATTTTAATTCTCGACACTCACTGTTCAATGAAGTTTCAATGAAGATTTGATTAGAGCATCAAGAGATTGATTCGTTCGTGTTAATAGAAAAGATTCACCGAGAACCGATAGAGAAAACAAATGTATAAGATTAGTCGTTCATCATATTTTGTTCTTTGAAATGAGTCTGCGATTTAGTTCTCATTTTATCTTCAATATAACGTTGGAATCCCTATCATTTCATCTGCTTCTACGTCTTAATAGCAATGCCTGTTTACAATCGACGTATTTATCTTTAATCAAAGACTCATAGCTGAGAATTATTGAAGAGTTAGATATATATCTATTGTAGAGCTCACAGGATTCTATATTATTAAAATCTACATTAACTTCGATGAGATTATGCCAAAGTCATCAATTAAAAGATGGATATTTCTCATAAAGAGGTATGGATATCTTTTAAATAAATTGCTCGAATAATTCGTGTGTCTCAGCTAAAATTGACGATAAGAATACACAACATACCCGTTTGGTCACTTACGAGAATGTACATTATTATCTGGCCAAGAGTGTTATGTACAAGATGACAGAGTATACATACCGAGACTTCATCAAATGAGTATATATCGACATTGAGACTTGACGTTTGAACATTGCCTTCAAATCGTGATCGACGATTGAAATAGATCAAGAAAGTTTTCCGATCATTTCGTTCTGAATAAATCGAACCATCCTTTTATTGAGATAAAGTTTTGATTGACCAAGTAACATCAACATGAACGACATAAATCAGTCTTCTAATAAGTAGTGATTAATCAAAGATTTCATGTCATATAAAACACACCTATCATTGCAGAACGAAGTTGTTCTTGTTTTAAATCTTTAGTCATCATAATTAATTTTCTGAATAAATTCAAAATATTTTAATATGAATATCTTCTTAGGCTTCAAAGGACACGCTTGTATTGCAAATATGGAACGTCCACTTGTTATGTATCAATTAGGAGATACGAATTTGACGAATGCTGACATGAGCAGGAAATTCCGACAAGATTTAGGATTCGAATATTTTAGACGTGTGTCAACAAAAAAAGGAAAATCAATTTTTTACTTGTTCTATACAAGTGAAATGAATACTTACGATGCATTAGTTGCTGCAAAGAGAATCAAATATATTTCGGTTGTACGATATCAACCCCGGAATCGTGTTTTGCCACCACCTGCACATCTTGATGAATTTCCTTGCGACGAACTGCCGTTTCATCCTGGGCATTGTCCAAAGATTGTTAATTTTTTAAGATCTGCCTTTTCTAAACACATCGAAAAATTTCCATCTCGAGTATGCCATCAAATTCCGGAAATTTGCATATCTAAATCGTTTTATATAGAGATTGTTTAAACTATTAATTCATCGTCTTGCTGACCAAACAGACGCAAGAAAATTGAGATTCATAGGAGGTATAGTAATTGAGTTGTTTAATTAAAAGAAGTTATCTTATATATGATTTACTTTTCCAGTGCAAGAACGGATGTGTAGAATGGACCGATGGTGGTGGCTAAATGAAAAGTTCATGGCACAAGATATTCATGACGTTCAAAAATTGATGGACGTCTTCTTCACTTACTGACTGTCGAAAATTTTTTGTTCTTGCAAATTGTACATAATTCTTATCACTAGTTTTGCTCAGTAATATACAATTGTTTTGTTGAGTGGTGATCCATGCTTGTTCACTATCATTGCCAACTCCTTTAATCGCAATTGATGTGCATACTGTTTTGTCGTACTTCAAGTTTATATTCGAATGAAATAATTGGTAACAGCTTGATTTTGGCCCAATCATCATTTTTATTGTACAACCGTCACTGGTGTTCACGCTAATGAATAGAAGTAGAGAAGTAATTACAGCGAGTATATCCAATGAATCTAATCGACGAGTGGCATGTGTTTATCTCGTATTTTCTTGCTGCACTCATTGTTTTAATCCATGTGCAATTGGTCAATCAACACCATCAGAAACTGTTTGTTAGGAGATGGAATAACTTATATAATGTCATCATCAGGTCTTACAGTGCCAAAATGAACGCTGACTCGATTTACTTTTCCGTGTAATTCATATGTATATATTTTACCAGTTTCATGAATAAAATCTCTTAAGCCTTGTGATAAGGTTGGTACAATTTCTATTGACTATATTCATTTCGTTGTAGATTTAATCATGAACACGTTTCCATCTGGAACTATTCTCTTACGTACTCCTCAATTTGTCTTTCTATCAATGCCTCAAGTTTACATTATACCAGTGCTTGAAAATGTTCCAAATGCGAATCATCATGTTTCTATTGTACCACAAGTTACACAATTGCTCCCCGTGACTATCCCAAATTCGAACATGAATTTTGATAGTTGTCATACTACGGAAATAAATAATTCTTGTCCGATTGCCAGCATTGATGATTCTTCTTTGTTCCACATGAGCAGTATGGATCATTCATATCTCGCTGATAATTTATCGACTGACTTGATTAGTCATAGTAGTGATGAAACACCCATTTTGTATTTATCCGATAGCAATTCAGGTATAGTTGATTTGAATTCTGATGGTGATATGAGTATGAGCAGCGTAACGGACGATGATTATGATGATCGATACGTCTATGATAACAATGACGGTGGCGACGGCGACGATAGATATATCACTGATGATGATGACGAGGAATCAATAAATGGCGCATACTGGTTCTAAATTAAGACGAAGGTTGTTAATAAAGATGACACTGTTTCAAGAAAAGAAAATTGATTGTATGTTTGAATTGATTGATATAGAAGTATTCTCTAAGAGAACATGTCGACTTTTTCTTTCATTTTTCGTTATATAAAATGTCACTGTAAACTCGCACGTCCAGGTTGATTTTTTCCATAGAATTCATTAATAATTTGTGCTGTACTGTTTAATCGATACTAATTCAATGCGATAAATTTTTTGTATTGTATTACTCACAGTGGCGTTAGCCTTTTCATTTTGTACAAAATAAGCGTCCAATTGATAAAACGCATTTAGAGTATCTATCTCAAACTATGTTGTTCCGTGATAGATAATACCGGTATTTTTGTGGCACTGATTGATCACTTTGTCAGAAGTTTGCTATATAGTGTTCATTTTTTTGTAGATATATAACCAATCATGTCATTGAACCATGTGACTGCCAATCGCCTTTTAACATTTATTAACGGAGTTGATGTTATCAATTTCATTGAAGCAATGAATATCAGCAAAGTATTGTGCTCACTTGCGCCAACTTCGGATCGTGCTTTTCGTGAGTCAATAAAACGACTTTCTGGACATAAAAGAATCCTGATAGATCGGACAAATTTTAACCGCTATGAAGGCGATTACGATTTTGATGAAAACAAGTTGGTGCTGGTCTCGAAACGATATTCTGATGTTGCGCAACCTGAATTTCGCTTATTTATACATCCATGTTTCAGTATTGATGCTTTTCGACAACTGGCCAAGTTTTATAACGCTGCACTTTTCAAATGTTTTGTTCGTCTGTTGCCACTGAACACCAAGCAATATTGCGCTGATTTTGGTCTTGTTAGTTTTATATCTTTCAATCGAACGATATCCTTAGGTCGAATGTTGAATGAGCATGAGAAAAAATTGTTTACACGTATGTCTTCGTCGTTGGTCTTAATCATGTAGGTTGTTTAATACATCTTGATTTAGATAACAAGTATTTTGAAACATTGGAGAACCAAAAACGACAAACGTTATTGACATTTGTAAATACTGTAGACGAGTTTCGATACAATCTGGCTGTTCGCTTCCTATCAGATACTTGGTTATCAGCAATTGATTTCTCAAAATTAGTTATTATCGGAGGAAGCGTTTTAAATGCGTTATGTACTCTGCCTTTTCCCGACACACAGGAGCAAGATATTAATTTGATTTACTTCTCTGGAGATTGGTCGAATTTCGAAGAAACTGTTTTGAGTACAGCAGCAAAGCTCAAAGAAATCAATCAAAATAAGTTCACAGTCGATATTGAAGTTAAAAAAAATTTGGGATCATGTTCTTACGATTTGTACTTACCTCATGGTGTTAAGCTAAACTTAAAATTTAGTCCTGCTAATAACTCTAACTATCCCATGTCGCATATACTGTACGAGTTGGACATAGATATTTGCCAAGTAGCGTATAATGGTTTGTTTCTATTACATACGTATTAAAGCCCGTATTGAATATCACGTACTTTAGGACAAGAACTACTTTCAACTTCGTCATTTATTGAGGCAATCGCGACAAAAACATTCATTATGTACACGTTGCATGGGAATATATCTCAAAATTCATGTGTTCGAATCCAAAAATTGTGTAATCGTGGTTTTGTATTTCGACACCATTTTATTTTGACGGTAGCTTCGAGGAACTCATGTCTCAGGAATATCTGCCTTCATATCGCATACAACAATTCTACTTTATAGATGATGATGGCGAAGTACAAGTGGCTACAAAAGAAGTATATCTTACTCACGAGCTAAACGTGGACGCATTTCGTTTGCAAGAAGAGTTTATAACGGCTGTTTGTCCTCAATTATTAGACTACCAATAGCTCACAAATGCAATTACTGCGGAACTGTAAAACAGTTTCGATAGTAAGAAAATCAATCATATAGTCAAATAATTTCATTGTTTCATGCATGTTTCACTTTCGCTTTTCATTGTAACCTTGGATTGATATCATTTTTTCAAGACATGCTGTTTGAATCTACGTAGAAAACAAATTAATTGTTTCATCGGAGTTATTAACGATAGACGAACTGCTTGAATTCAGATCTTAACATTAACTGATTTTGTATCTCCTATATAAAATACCAACTGCTGAGAATATAGAAAGACAAGAGTATCGTTCAATACAAGTTCACTCATAGAGCTACAACTGTAAGATTGATATTTTGTCGAAAAGTTTGCCATTGACTGGTGTTCTATAGGATAAGAATAACTGTCGTGTGGGATTCTTATTTATTGAATTTGATAATTTATCTTAAAAACGAATTGTGTGGTCGGTTTTTCTGTTTATGAACAACTTCACGTGTTTTCTATTTCAGATTTTCAGAATCACATAAATTCGTCAAGCAGGTGTTATATTTCTGTCGTTTTCTTATATTGCAAGTATTCTATCTTTACTATTTGGGTCTTTCTAATGCAATCGATCTATTTCGTACACTAGGAAACAATAATGAGTCAAAACGTTCGTATCAATTTATCGGAAGTTGTCAACGAACAAGTAAGATACTACCTTTAGTTTATTCATTAAAACTAACCTTATTGTAGATAAAAACAAATCCAATTAAACGCACTGTGTCTGATGAAATACAAGCTCAACCAAAAACAAAACTCATGAATCATACTCCTACGGCTCAACAAATTCCATCATTTTGCAGTGCATCCGCGTACATGAAAAAGATCACAAATGCTGAAGACGTAACTGTTAAAGAAACAGTTCCTATACCAGACATAACAGATGAAGAATTGTTAATGATGGCACAAATTTTTGAAAATACAAATAAAAATCAATTCGTAATTACTTTAGAAAAGTAGCTGAGACAAAAGAAAGATATAGCGCTGGTTTTCTTCTGTAGTGTTTTTGTAGATGTTAGCAACAAACCATTTATCCATTTCTTGTGCTATTTCAATAGTTTCATAATATAAAATTTCGTTTCTTATCGCTATGCAATCCATTTTCAAATGTTTCAGATTATGTGTGTATTCGAAAGGGAATTTTAGTTACGAATACGCATCACACCATCAATTAACTCCTTTCAACATTGGCGGTCATTCATAAACAATAACAATCCGAACAAGTACCATTTGAATAGCTACCCTAATATAATAGAGTAAGGAGGGGTGTTTGCATACAAAAAATCAGTGAGTCTCATTAAAACAGTTCTAACTTTTTTACTATTAGTTATTTTGAAAAACTTTCTGAACAAGTTATGTGCCTCAGCACATGCTCTATCGATTGATGAAAACCGCTTTTCTAAAGCTTGCCTACAGAGCTATCGGCACCTGGTTTCGTGAAAGCTAATTTTTGACTTTTGGATTAACCTACGGCGTCCAATTCGATAAATCCGCTTACCCTTGTGGGGTAAATGTAGAATCCCAGCAAGTTTGCCATTGCTCACCAAAAACAAAGTTTTGGCTGATTGGTTCGTTGTTGATTGGTGATTGTTTCACCAACAAATAGATCGAAGTCTCCTCTACAATCCTATACCAATTCCACAGCTAAAGCCCAAGGAAAAGGTTTTCTGAAAAAGCTTGTAAAGTCGTTGTCGAACAGAAAATTTTTCTACATTTACCCCGCATGGTGTAAATGTGTAATCCTAGCTAAACTGACCGGGTAAATGAATAAACCCAGTCTTTCACCATGGACTTTTAAAAACCAAAATTTTGCGAGATCCGTATGGGTTTTAAGATTTTCGACCCATGCAAAATATGCAGCTTGAAAAGCTCTATCATCGTAGAGACTTTTTTCCACTACCAGAGAAATGTTAAACCATAAGGTGATTGCAACATTATATAGTATTAACAAAAAACAAATTCAACAAATTAGCGGATAGTTTGCCGTACACGTGCGACAGTTACTATTCTCTTTATCCTTATTTGACGACACTATGGACGATATGACTGCATGCAGATTCGACTATATAACGAAGAAATGGAAAATTCTATGTGCCTATTGAAATCATTATCCTTCTTCATTTTCTGTGCTTCAATACCAGCCTTAGCATCTTCACAAAATCGAATACAACTCATTTCTTTAATATTTGCAAATTATATTCTAACCACAATGCCTCGTAGTTATATCCGAAAGAAGCAACCTCATTATTCCACTGCTGACCTGGATAATGCATTGAAATCTATTCGGAGAAACACACTGACCGTAAAGGAGGCATGGAAGAAATATCATATTCCACCATCAACTCTCTATGCACGTTTATCTAATCGTCGTGGAGATGGAAAGTCCGGGGCTAAAACTATCCTATCAAATGAAGAAGAAAAACTTCTTATACATATCATACAGAAGTTCCAAGAGTGGCAACAACCATTGACTCGATCGGATCTTATCTCAATCGCACGTAATTTTATGATGGAGCTCAACAAGACAAATGTCACACCTAACTCTTCGTTACGAGATTGGTTTCTTTGCTTTCGTCAGCGATGGATGAATGAAATAAAGCTGGTAGAGGCGTATAAACTTGAAAAAATCAGATCAGTTTCGTGCACACAATTAGTTGTTGGTAAGTGTAAAATTAATTTGTTAACTGCTTTTATAATCCTGCTTTTAGATCGTTGGTTTGATCATTTACATAAAGTTTTAACTAAGCTACGCATATTTAATTCACCTGAAGCAATATATAATGTGGATGAATCGGCTTTTGGTGATGATCCGGGTCGAAAACAAGTGATTATCAAACGAGATTCAAAATACGCAACTCGCACACAAGGTGGTTCAGGGAAAAGCTACACGACACTAATCATGTGTACATCTGCATCCGGAAAGTAAGTTGCTTCACTCTCATCCTAGTTTATATTACTCTCTCTCGCTCTTCCTAGGTTTTTGCCGCCTTACATTATTTATCGTGCACAGAGATTATTCGATTTGTGGATGCCAAAGAACAGCTACCCAGGTACACGTTTCAATTCGACAACATCTGGTTGGAGTGAAGAGCTCGTTTTTTACGACTGGCTTCAGTTTCATTTTGTACCCAATGTCAAATCAATTAAACGACCGATTTTGTTGACAATGGATGGCCATCGATCTCATTTATCAATCCGAATAATAAAAAGTGCAATGGATAATGGGATTCACATCGAATGTTTACCACCGCATAGTACCACAATTCTGCAACCGTTGGATGTTCTAACTCTCTCGAAGCTTAAGCGAAGCTGGAGAAAACTCTTATCAGATCAGTATCGAAAAACAAATTCTGAAGCACTCACCAAACAGACCTTTGCACTTTTGGTGAGTTATATTCTATTGTTTAACAAACTTGATGATGTCTCGTTATTTAGATATCAGATCTGTTTAAAAACCATTTACTAGCTGGTCACTGTTCTGGGGGTTTCTCGAAAGCTGGTATCTATCCGTTTGATAGACGCGCAATCTCCAAAGAGAAGCTTCTCCAACCTGTATCAACGCAAGACTTTGACGAAACGGCTGCTCGAGTGAGCACAACCGATGATGTGCCAAATATTCCACCAACTGTTAGTACCGGTCGTTCTTTACGTCGATTATCATGTCCAAATATTTCTCGAAGTAATACCAAATTAACATGTTTATTAATCTTGGTTATTTTACTCTAGATTTTTACTCACTATCAGAAGATACCTTGTCGCCAGTCGAGAGTAATTTAGTAATCAATACATCAACTAACAATTGTATCGATACAAGTCTGTCAGCGGCTGTTTCTACGTCATTAGGTGCGTCGAAAATAAATACTTCTCCTTATCATACGTTTCTTTTCCTCAGATATCGGAAACGCAATTGATTCATCTGACACAAGCTCATCAAAAGCAAATGATCTTATTCCTAGTACGTAAACCTTAAATAAATGTCTCATTTTGTTGGTCTCTCAGATAAATACTATAGTATCTTCAGTTTACTGGAAGCATTCTTCCTCAAAAATTATTGCGCAGATATTTAGCAACTGTTCGCATTTGCATTCTCAGATTCTAATTGGAACATTGTTTTTCACTAGTTTGTTATGCTGATCTTGCTGTCGATAGCGATCCATCACCACCACCTACTACCATTTCAACTTGCACCTCAAACACAGGTAGAATTTCCTTTACGACACCTAAATATAGTGACGTTTTCTTCTGATAGATGTTTCATTGATACTATCTGATGCTATGAAGATACTTTATTCTCGAAATGAAGAAGAAAAGTTTCCTGGTAATATTATTTCTTCAACCCAGCAGAAAGTAATTATTGAAAAACATTTAGAATCAATTTATTCGTCAATCCCATCATTCGATGTTGATGCATTGAATACAAATCCTTTATCAGACAAAAGTATTTTCTAAACGTTTGTTGAAGTTGCTGCTTCCATATTACTTATTGCAGTCGTCGCTGGTGATTTCTCGCTTTGTCAACTAGGCACACAAGATTTTCAATCTTTTACTGTACACTCATCAGCAACATTCGATACAAATTCTGCTATCTCGAAGAATTCAACTATCGATGCTTTAACAAAAGCCATAGACAAGTACATGGCACCTGTAGTTACTGCAACTGGTCGAAAAAAGAAACAGGTGGGACGTCCATATGGCGAAAGTATGACAAGTGTCGATGCCTATCTCAAAATAAAGAAGACAGAGAATGCCTGAAAGCGAAGGGTGACGAAAGAAAAAGAACCAAAGGCTAAAACAAATTTGAAACAAGCTATGGGGTACGTTTTCTTTACGCGTAACTACTCAAATCTGTATATGATTATTTTTATAGCGCACGAAAGAAAACAGAAACGAATGTTCTTAGCAAAGCAGGAGAACTCGCGACCAATACCACTGACTTCAATAACAATTCTTATCCTTCATTTATGAATGCATCAAGTTCTCCTCATCAACAAACATATCATTTTCCTTCGCCCGTTTCGTACGTCAACAATATGTCTTCTTTTAACAATTTTTCCAATTCCTATTATCAACAAACGACTGGGAATCAACCGAATTCTTATAATCTCAGCTACCCGATTTGTTACAAGTGTGATAGGCCGGTTTATTTTAGTAGTGGTCAAGGTTTTCAATGTTACTCATGTAATCGCGTATGTTGTATCCAATGTGTCGATACTTCTATCTCATCAAGTAATTACTATCATCAATGCGAATACTGCTGCCTTACTTCTACCGTCAATATGTGTTCTTAATCATACAGGCATTTCTACTCAACAAACAGTCTCCAGTGTTCGAATCCTTGCCTCAACAACTGTCATACGAATACTTTCTCATGAATGTCATGTGCAGTATTTCTTTATTCTATTCAAATTAAATAAATTCAAATGGAAATATCTTACTATGTACCTAAATGATATTCTTTGGCAGTAATGTATGATATTATATTTCCCGTATGGTTTAACATTTCTCTGGTAGTGGAAAAAAGTCTCTATGATGATAGAGCTTCTCAAGCTGCATATTTTGCATGGGTCGAAAATCTTAAAACCCATATGGATCTCGCAAAACTTTGGTTTTTCAAAGTCCATGGTGAAAGACTGGGTTTATTCATTTACCCGGTCAGTTTAGCTAGGATTACACATTTACCCCATGCGGGGTGAATGTAGAAAAATTTTCTGTTCGACAACGACTTTACAAGGTTTTTCAGAGAACCTTTTCCTTGGGCTTTAGCTGTGGAATTGGTATAGGATTGTAGAGGAGACTTCGATCTATTTGTTGGTGAAACAATCACCAATCACCAACGAACCAATCAGCCAAAACTTTGTTTTTGGTGAGCAATGGTAAACTTGCTGGGATCCTACATTTACCCCACAAGGGTAAGCGGATTTATCGAATTGGACACCGTAGGTTAATCCAAAAGGCAAAAACTAGCTTTTACCAAACCAGGTACCGATAGCTCTGGAGGCAAGCTTTAGAAAAGCGGTTTTCATCAGTCGATAGAGCATGTGCTGAGGCACATAACTTGTGCAGAAAGTTTTTCAAAATAACTAATAGTAAAAAAGTTAGAGCTGTTTTAATGGGACTCACTGATTTTTTTGTATGCAAACACCCCTCCTTACTCTATTAAATCAAGGTTCGCTTTTAAAATATTTNTTTTCACTAGTTTGTTATGCTGATCTTGCTGTCGATAGCGATCCATCACCACCACCTACTACCATTTCAACTTGCACCTCAAACACAGGTAGAATTTCCTTTACGACACCTAAATATATTGACGTTTTCTTCTGATAGATGTTTCATCGATACTATCTGATGCTATGAAGATACTTTATTCTCGAAATGAAGAAGAAAAGTTTCCTGGTAATATTATTTCTTCAAGTCAGCAGAAAAGAATTATTGAAAAACATTTAGAATCAATTTATTCGTCAATCCCATCATTCGATGCTGATGCATTGAACACAAATTCTTTATCAGACAAAAGTATTTTCTAAACGTTTGTTGAAATTGCTGTTTCCATATTACTTATTGTAGTCGTCGCTGGTTATTTCTCCCTTTGTCAACTAGACAATCAAGATTGTCAATCTTTTACTGTACACTCATCAGAAACATTCGATACAAATTCTGCTATCTCGAAGAATTCAACTATCGATGCTTTAACAAAAGCCATAGACAAGTACATGGCACCTGTAGTTACTGCAACTGGTCGAAAAAAGAAACAGGTGGAACGTCCATATGGCGAAAGTATCACCAGTGTCGATGCCTATCTCAAAATAAAGAAGACAGAGAATGCCCGAAAGCGAAGGGTGACGAAAGAAAAAGAACCAAAGGCTAAAACAAATTTGAAACAAGCTAAGAGGTACGTTTTCTTTACGCGTAACTACTCAAATCCGAATATGATTATTTTTATAGCGCACGAAAGAAAACAGAAACGAATGTTCTTAGCAAACCAGGAGAACTCGCAACCAATACCACTGACTTCAATAACAATTCTTATCCTTCATTTATGAATGCATCAAGTTCTCATCATCAACAAACATATCATTTTCCTTCACCCATTTCGTACGTCAACAATATGTCTTCTTTTAACAATTTTTCCAATTCCTATTATCAACAAACGACTGAGAATCAACCGAATCCTTATAATCTCAGCTACCCGATTTGTTACAAGTGTGATAGGCAGGTTTATTTTAGTAGTGGTCAAGGTTTTCGATGTTACTCATGTAATCGCGTATGTTGTATCCAATGTTTCGATACTTCTTCTATCTCATCAAGTAATTACTATCATCAATGCGAATACTGCTGCCTTACTTCTACCGTCAATATGTGTTCTTAATCATACAGGAATTTCGACTCAACAGTCTCTAGTGTTCGAATCCTTGCCTCAACAACTGGCATACGAATACTTTCTCATGAATGTCATGTGCAGTATTTCTTTATTCTATTCAAATTAAATAAATTCAAATGGAAATATCTTACTATGTACCTAAATGATATTCTTTGGCAGTGTTGTATGATACTATATCTCCCGTATGGTTTAACATTTCTCTGGTAGTGGAAAAAAGTCTCTACGATGATAGAGCTTTTCAAGCTGCATATTTTGCATGGGTCGAAAATCTTAAAACCCATACGGATCTCGCAAAATTTTGGTTNACTAGAGATAAACATAAAAGTGTAATATCTAGGGCTAACTAAAGATAAACATAAAAGTATAATATCGATGTCACACTGTAGGTCAAGATAAAAGTATAGTATCGATGTCACATTAGAGGTAGAGATAGATGTGTCAACAATATCTCTCTATAAAGTGCATCGGCTAAGAGGCTAATATTTGAGCGCAAGCAGGAAGGAACAAATGAGATAATTGTTGTGTATAGAAAGAGGGAGAAGATGAGAGATGAAGAGAGAATCGGGGAAGAGGGAAGAAACGTATAGCAAGGTCATCATCAGTGCTTAAGGAAAAAGAAGAAGTGTACAATCATAGATTGTCACACTGAGGATCTGTCTCAACGTCATTTATGTTCAAACTGGAATCGAGTGAATCAAGCCACTGTGCTGAAGGTAGACGGCCATGGGCCGAGGAATCGCTTTGTGACAAAACCGGCGAATGAGGTAATTTGGGTGGAGTTTGAAGCAGGAAAGCTTTTGACAATAAAGGAGATGACGTAAAAGGTGTCACAATAGTTTTTTCGCTACATAACTGTTTGACGAACGTTTCACCCATATCTTGACCAATAATATCCACAAGGAAATAGATTCATGATATAGCAATAAAAGAAATCAATCTGTTGTAAAGAAGACTTCTCTTTTTATACTCTTTGATGGCTGCTCTTTGTCCTTTTGTTAACACATACTAGAGCAGTATTACCTGACTATAGCAAACCAGACGGATGTTTAAATTTCTGTTTTCATTACTCTCCTGCTTATGTATAGTATGTAAAACAAACTGATATTTGCAGACTATCTATCAATAGGATGATTTTATCCAACGGCAAGTCGGTAGCATTATTTTCTGTGTTAATTATTCTTTGCCTTCCATCACTGCACACTAGAATAGTATTAAACTATTAACAAGAAAGCTTTCAGCGCAATCCCTACGGGATTAAAATGTGAAACACGACGCAACTATCGTTCCGAACTACTGAGTTTCGTCTTGAGGGTACATAATGTGTTAGTTGTTTGATTAGGTTCTTCATAGGAGCACAATGGAAGTCTCATACCAAACGCACGTACGGTCACTTGAGGTCTTTGAGATGTAACTGATTTATTCCCAGTAAACTAGATAGGCTGCGTTCATTTATATAATTACACACAGCACTTTCCAAATTTCTACCCCTAAACCTTCAACACTTCCTTCCAGGTCGTGTTTCACAAAAAAAGTAATTAACAGATGTGAACTTCTACTGCTCTGTAAAAAAAACTCGGGTCATGATGAACCTTTTTTCGGTACCATTTTCAGAACCTTTTTTGGTTTTAGCAAAAAAATCTAGAACTTAAAATGGTCTTAGCCAAATGTGCCGAACTAGAAAAGGTTTCAGATTTCTTTGCTAGAACCCAAAAGCTTCTGAAGATGGTACCCAAATCTAGAACCATAAAAGGTTTTAGACGCTAGCTAAAACCTTTTATGGTTCAGTATCGCCCGGTTTTTTAGAGAGTGGCCTGTGCGTTGTCCATTATTATCTGTAGATGGATCAGCAGATATATTGTTTATCAAGCAGCTTGTCTAGCAGGCACCTGGTCTAAGAGGGACTCTGACTATCAAGCACCTTGTCTATCAGGCACCCTGCTTATCAACCATGCTGTCTATCAACCACCTTGTCTAAGAGGCACGTTGTCTATGAAGCACCCTGTCTGACAGGCACCCTGCTTATCAAGCATCTCATCCAGCAAACAGTGCCGACCATGGAATATGCGAACCGCACCATAATATGTACGTATTGGTGGACAGAGTTACATATCCTTTCAGAAGCTAGATTCTGTTCTATAAGCAAGTAGTTGATCATAATGTTTAGCGAGATGTAACACTGTCACCAAAGGTACGGTTCAAATTGACATTTACGAAACTGAACTATCGGCAATTGGCGAACATCCTCCCTTTTCACGGCGGAGATTTCAGAAAAACACAACTTCCGGCAATTGACGAAAGTTCAGTGCCAAGGTCAGTACGGCGAAATTCGCGCTTGCCCCAAAAATCCGAAGTTTGCACATTCATTTATGTTAGAAGCCTTGGGGATGTTCGTATTAGCTCATACTGGTGCCTGTTGAATGACCATGTATTTGAAATCTTCATTGATTTATCTAAGAATATTGTTTGTGTGTGGTAATGATACCTGGACATAACATTTTCCGTGTTTCAATCTCCAGTTAACAGTGTCACATATGCATCCTTTCGACAGTACGATACTCTTTAACTCTAGTCCTAAAATCGCTATTGAGATAGTGAGGCACATGTTTTCAGAAATATCTTATGAGTTTGTTGGAACGCTAGGCTGAAATGGTTCATAACAATGATACACGTGCAGTTTGCTATGGAAGAACAACGGATTTTCCAAAAGAACAGGATATCAATATAGTTCGCGAATCACGGTTATTTTCTTTAATATTGAAAGAAGCCCTCCGGAGCGCAGGATTTTTTTATGGAAAAATTAGTTTAATAAGTTGTACGGAAGGAAATTATAAGCTTTCTTTATACGAGTTCCACTTATACAGACAAAGTTTCTTAAGAAAGCGCATAAAAACACGTTGATATTTCGCTAAAGCGGCGATTTTAAATTTTGCAGTCACTACAACACCGTTTTAGCCAATCATCAAAGCGTTTCTACGCATCAATACTTTAATGCATTCAAATTTTCTTTATAATAATACCTTATTCTGTAATTGTTAAATAGTGGCATTTCTTGTCCACATTTTCTACCTCATCCCCTAATCTCTCTCGACTGATTGGATAGAAAGGGAGATCGACAGGGAATGATGAGAATAAAGTCAGTTCTTGTTAGACACATCTAACAGTTGGAGCCGTGACTCGATTTCATTTCCACTTCGTTTCTTCTCCTTCGGATTCTCACTGTTTCTCCGCGATGCCAAAACGGGAACGTCGATCTCAAATATCAAAATTAGATACAGCATCTCTTCCCGATGCACATGATGGCCATATCTCTCGCTATCCAGAATTTAACACCGTGGATACGTCCTCGGTTGATCCAATTCTTCTCATCTTGACTAAAGAACAACTAAAGACTCTCGCGAAGTTTGCCGGTACTCCTCAGGATGATATTCTTCAATGGTTGATTCGCGTCGACGAAATCTTCGATTCCATCCAACTCCCTGACTCCGCGAAATTCATCGCTATTCAGTCTTATCTTATTGTTGCTGCACTGAAGTGGTTTCGATTTAACAAATCTCAAATCACTGATTGATCAACATTCAAGATTCGAATCGCTGCTGCATATCAATCCACGATTCAAGAGGCTCTCGCTAAACTTGAACAACGTTCTCAATTGTCTGACGAATCGGTTATGACCTATCATTTCGATAAACTTCAATTTATGTCATCAAGCCGATCCTCGCATGAGCTCCTCCATGCGACTTCATTATCTTCTGAAAGGTTTACGATCTCATCTCATTCCACATGTCATGCGACGCAATCCCACTACTCCCGAGGAATTCCTTCGATTTGCTCAAGATGAAGAAAAGATTATTACTACGTTACATGGTTTTTCTTTGGACAATTCGACCACATCGTCTGATTATATTGACTCCATTCACAACACTCATCCCTCCGTTGGAATTATCCGATCACCTGTTCATGCCGATCAACCCACTAACCTACCGTCCCGTTCATCCGCCACATCACCACGTCCACTCATATCACTTCCACCTATGGATTATTCATCGTTTTTTCCAGCACCTGTTCCGCTTCCTCGCCAGCCTCGTTTTTTCCTTCACTCGCGTCAATGTTACGTCTGTTATGGTTATGGTCATATTGCTGCTCAATGTCCTTCTCGAAAAAACGTATAACGAGATATATTGATGGTCATATCTCTTCACCATTACCCAATCCACCATCTTCAACTTCCTCATCTGTTCGTCTTTTTGTCAACAACGTTCTTACCGATGTTTTAATCGACACGGGTGCCAGTATTTCACTCATTCACGTCGACACTCTCAATCGTCTGACTCACACACCTGTCCGATCCTGTCCATTAACCAATGCTCATACTGCGAATAGTGGGTTTCTGTCACTCATCGGATTGGTTCAACTACAAGTCCAAATCAACCATTGGCTTACTCACGTGGACGTCTATGTTACTCCTGACTTAATCTGCCCGATGATACTTGGCCGTGATTGGATTCAAACGCATTATGCCACGATTGATTTTAGTACCAATCGATTATCTCTCTATCAGGGAATCACCACCACTCCATTATTACCTACTCCACCTGAACAATCTTGCGTCTTGTCATTATCAACATCGGTTGTTATTCCTCCTTTTCACCAAATGCTTCTTTATGGATATACATCTATTCCGTCTTTAGCCAATGCCATCTTCACCCCGAACATGGCTCTACAACACAGCCGGATGCTATTACTGCCTCATGCCGTACTTCATATTCGGAATCATCGTGGTGTTATCTCCATCCTCAACAACACTCGTCATTCGAAGTCGATTCCTCAAAACACTCCACTTGGTTATGTTTCTTCTATTGGTGTTTCTCTTCCGACCCACCAAGTTTCATCTATCTCTGTCACTCCGTCTGTTACATCTTCTTGTGACTCTCCTTTCTCCTGTTCTCATTGTTCTCTTTCTTTTTCGAATGAAGTAACATTATATGATCACTTGCTCATATGTTGTAATAAAATTGATTGTTCCACTTACTCTATTATTCAGTCGCTACTGATACATATCTCCGATGGTTCTCAACGACAACAGATTTTTCTCATGCTACACCAATATCGTTCTCTCTTCGATACCACATCTTTTACTGGTATTAATTGTTCACCTCAACATGCTATCAACACGGAGACGGAAACGCCCGTCGCCACTCATCCTCGACGCATTTCTCATACCAATCGCATCATTGTCCAGACAGAAGTCCAAAAGCTTTTAACCACTCATATCATTGAACCCTCCAATTCGCCGTGGTCATCTCCCGTAGTTATCATTAAAAAGGCCGATGGTTCTCCTCGATTTTGTGTGGATTATCGCCGCCTGAATTCAATTACTATCAAAGATATTTATCCTCTACCCCGAATTGACGACATTATCGATCGTTTAGCGGGCTCTCGGTTGTTTTCCAAACTTGATCTTCGCAGTGGTTACTTTCAGGTACCACTCGCCCCCAAGGAACGAGATAAAACAGCATTCTCGACTCCCGATGGTCATTGGCAATTTACTCGTTTACCACAAGGACTCAAAAATTCACCCGCAGTCTTTCAGCGATTAATGAACTCCACCCTCGGCATGTTACGATGGGATATATGTCTGTCATACCTCGATGATATCATCGTTTACTCTTCATCGTTTGCACAACATTTAATGGACGTTCGACGTGTTTGTCAAGTCTTACACGCCGGTAATTTTACCTTGAATGCCTCGAAATGCTCGTTTTTTCAAGATGAAGTTTGCTTCTTGGGACATAAAATTTCTGTTGATGGTTGTTGTCCGACACCCGACAATACCCGTTCCATCCTCGACTTTCCTGTTCCCCGATCCAGCAAAACCGCACATTCATTCTTACAAATGGTTGGATTCTACCGTAAATTTATTCCGCAATTTGCCACCATATCTCATCCCCTGAACAAATTTACTCGCAAGGATCTTCCGTTTATATGGACAGACGTTGAACAACACGCATTCGATCAATTAAAAGCTGCTATGACATCCCCTCCGGTGCTCACTCTACCTGATCCATCCCAGCCATACATCATTCGAACCGACGCTTCTCATGTGGGAATTGGTGCAGTTTTATTGCAACAACAGCCTAGTGACTCCCCTCGTTCCGCCACACTCACTTATAAACCAATCGCATTCGCTTCTCGCAGTTTTCAACCAGCAGAAAAACGATACTCGGCCATCGAACTCGAAGCATTAGCTATATGGTGGAGTGTCACTGACAAATTTCACGTTTATGTGGATGGACAACATTTCTTTCTTGAAACGGATCACAAACCGTTACTATCACTTATGAAGAAGCCCTACAATAACTCTCGCATCGAACGCTGGATGACCACGTTACAACAATATAATATGACGATTCGTCATATTCCGGGTAAAGACAATACGACCGCCGACGCTCTTTCCCGATATCCCGTTGAACAACCATCACCAATTAACGATCCTCCTACTGCGTTGCCGACTCCTTGTCTCAATCTTGTCACAACTCGTTCAATGGCTAAGAAGCTTCATCCACCCGATTCGCATGTCACATCTACCACCACTCACACTACACAGTCTCCACCTCACTCATTAGCTCCTGCCAATACGGCTGCCGCGCATTCAAGTCGTTCGTTTGACATTCGTTCTACCAGTCACGCCACTCTTTTCGATGTAGACCTGTTAAACCTGCACCAAAACCAGGACCCCACTATTCGTCGCATCAAAGAGACTATCCCGTTGAACTCCCGATATGTTTTGCGTAATCACAATATCCTCCATCGCGTCATTACGCGCCACAATGTTCCTCCGCTTCATCTTCCATATATTCCTGCATCTTTAATTCCTTCGGTTCTGGCTCTCTATCACGATTCTTCATGTAATGGTGCTCACTTTGGTATTCAACGCACATTTTACAAACTTCGCGATCGGTATTATTGGCCTAACATGTACCGTGACATTAAACGCCATATTTCGTCTTGCCTCCAATGCCGTCAATGCAAACCTTCTCGTCGCAAACCTGATGGACATTTACATCCCATTCCACCTCCACCTGGCGTTTGGTCTCGACTTGCTATGGACTATGTTGGACCCGTTCCAGCCTCCTCCAACGGCAACAAATACTTTATCGTTTTGACCGATTTATTTTCTAAATACGCTGTCAGCAAAGCGGTACCCGATAACACTGTACGAACTGCCGCCACATTTCTCCTCCACGATGTGTTCTTTATTTATGGTGTTCCTATCGAAATTATTACCGACAATGATCCGCATTTCTCCTCATCGTTATACGCCGCTCTACTGCAACTCACTCATTGTTGTCATATCAAAACGACTCCGTATAATCCACAATCGAACGGCCAATGCGAGCGTCACAATGCCACATTAGTTCCGAATCTCGTCGCACTTTCCAATAGCTCTCGTTCTGACTGGGATCAGAAATTACGAGCTCATGACCAAATTTATTGCTCAAATCAAACTTGCCACTCGACATCGCATCCACGAACAACAACAACGCACCAAACGCCATTTTGATCGCTACCGGTTGAACCCCCATATACAATCAACCAACACGTTCTCATTCGGAATCGTAGTTCTCGATTGAACAAGTTCTCACCAAAATTTATTGGTCCCTACGTTATTCTTCAACAGCTACACCCAAAGACATATGTTGCTCAACATTCGATCACACAACACACAGCTCAAGTTCCTGTTCACGATATTCGATCGATTGACTAACTTTTACAACGCCATTTTCTCTTCGCCTTTTAATTTTTTTTCTTGTTATGTGTTGCATGTTTTCTCTTCCCTGATTTCAGTTTCTTTTTTTTTTAACCGATGTCCCTGTTCACCGGTAAAGGGGGAGGTATTAAATAGTGGTATCTCTTGTCCACATTTTCTACCTCGTCCCCTAATCTCTCTCGACTGATTGGATAGACTGGGAGATCGACAGGGAATGATGAGAATAAAGTCCCAGGTTATTATGGCACGGTCGGTTCCGGCCGATTAGGTTCGTTTTCCGACCGTTTCCTGCAAACTTCGAGCTGGAAATGGCCAGGAACTGATCGGATATTTCCTGTGCAATTCCGGTCGGAATCCGGCGCAAGGAACCTGCCGGAACAGGCGAAAACTGTGCCGAAATCGAGAAGAGCTGTACCGGAACTGACCCAGATTTCAACGGATCCAGTCGCCGGAATGATCGACCTGGGGTCAGTTCTTGTTAGACACATCTAACAGTGATGCTTAATGTGATGTTACTGGTAAAGTCGCAAACATTAACGCATTTTAACGTGACGAGAGAAATTTAACGAGTATTAATTCTTGAAAATTGCGCTTTTCTCGACTGTATTTTCGTTACAATTTTAAGGCTCACACGCGATCTTCCTGGTATTTGTCTGCCTGGACAATCACAAAAGTGTAAAAAATTTACTAAACCCCTCTTCTCCTTTTTTCCAAAACTTTTCGCAGGGTTATTGAGGTTTTTTATTACTTTTTCACGGTGAAATTTGAGGAAACAGTAGATTTTGCGGCGAAGAAGAAGTGATGACCCTAAGAAAAGTTTATGAGCACATACAAATCGGTGAAAAATTTCTAAAAATTTACGTACTTGAAAGTTTAAGAAAATGACGGGACATATTAGAACTCCCTGGAAAAATTTCGTACGCCTGCCAAATTAGAAGCCCTCGGGAACTTCTACAACGGGGAGGGGTTTATTGGATAAGTTTTAAATCTTTTCCTATTAGTTTTTCTGTCTAGTCATATACAAAAGATGCTCCAAAGAAACTATCTAGATCTCAAGATTCTTCATAGAAATGAACCAAATTTTTACACGAAAAATGTTTTCTAATCCACACCGCAAGTCTGAAGTGAAAAAATGGATGGGTCTTCGTACATTTACGCAGTTATGATCTGGATTATATATACCGGCTCGAAGAGGAACACTATGGCAAAAAGAGTTAGCCTTGTCATCGCTTGTGGTTTCCTTTATGTTGTGTATTCTGATCACAATTAGACCATATTAGTCTCTTTAGTTTTGAACAAGCTTGTTACCTCGATAGAAGGTTCTCCATTGGGTCCAATTTCACGGTGTGGATATGATTCTTTTTGACAACAGGCAGGATCCAAATCTTTTTTGAATAAAAGAGTGTCTTAGGTAGTCATAGAGAATATATGTAGCACCTTACCATGGCCCATTACGTCGTGACCTTTCAAACTGATTGCTAGAGCAACAGGAGTGCCCAATTTACCAAGCCCAATTATACCAATCTTCATTTTTCTTACCTGAGAATTCGCGAAACGCTAAGTAATCTGCACCAGGTATGCATAAATCGTATAAAATTGAATATTTTTTTGTGCAGAAAACACACAGATCTTAGGAATCTACTATGTAGCTTGAACTCAGTATCGATAAGGATAAATCATTGATTTCTCAAAATCAGAAGAACTAGGCGAAAATAAGAAAAGCCTGGTTGAATCTAGTAGGAAAACCAAACTTTTAAATTTTCCAGAAGTTATACCCAGCCCAATATTATTTTTGTTTAGTTCTTCCAATTTGAGAATCTAGTAATTTATGTTGATCGATATTGAGTTCAAGTGACATAGAACACACGTGCAAAACTCGAACAGATGCTTGACGTTTTCAACTAGTAAAATTTAGAAATTGAAGATCAAAGTGAGGGAGGGGGTGTGGACGCTTAAGAAGGTATCGGAGGGCTCATCAGGTTACGATTTGAAAGCTTCAATGCTTCAATTATCATTTTATGCCTAAAAATTGAAAAGGACGTTTGCCATTCGAATCGAGTTAATGATTTCTGCAATATTCACAAAGGATCGTTAAGAACAGGGTATTTTCTGCACACAAAACATTTAATTTTTATACGACTTTCTGCTAGTTTTGCTTACCTGATTTATCCACAAAGCGACTCAAATCTGAAATATAGTGAAAAAATGACGTGTTAATTCCCATAAAGAGTGACCCACATTCTTTGTGCTTTATTAAGAGTTATTGATCTGAACGTTTGAGACAAAACTGAAACGATTCGCAGAAGATATTCTGCTTGGTGAAGATAGATGGGTGTTTCTATGGGGTTTCTACCACCGTTACATGAAGTATTTCCTTTCAACGTGAAAATTTCAGGGTTTGTAGAGCTCAATGAGGTAATCATTTTGGCCGATTTAGATTTTGCAAAATATCGCGGCATCCTTCTTTCCCAAGAGTAAACTTTTCAAGCTTTTTTCGTAAAAAAAATGTGCAGTGGTTCTTGAAACTTTTCTTTCGTGACTATTATTTTCCATATATTTCTTATCTGAAATTTCTTTAAATAGGCTATTTTTATTCAGTTTCATTTGTACTATCTGGGGCAGTGTTGCTTCAGATTCTATAACTTTCCTAGAAAGAGCACGGGCTCATAAATCTTCACAAATACCCCTTAAAATTGCTCTAGATTTTCACTAATAAAAATCCAGTTTTTGAAATTCCCAGAATAGGAGACATATAGGGAATGATAGAGCAGAAGTTGCTCTACCACCTGGTATACTCGGTTACTCGGGGCATATCGAAATTTTGTAATGGTAAAGAGAGAAACTTTAATGCGTTTTAGCGTACTTTTCTTCTATTTCCTCACCTTTAGCATTCACAATTTAGAATAATAGCTGGGAAACGTTGTTGTCTTCAATGCCTTTATTACTGGATAGGGTTAGTTAGTTCGCGTACATTGCTTTGAGATGACTTCTCAGCGGACACAATGAGATCTATCGTCACCAATCCTCTTATATTAAATTCGTTTTCAAAAACGTTCATTGAACCCATCCGGCCGTCAGAATATCATGTTTAGCATAGATCAACCTCTTGTGCCAAATATACCTCACTATTTCAAACAAATATTTAGAACATGCTTCAACTTCTAACGGAATTTGAGAAAGCATCGAATAGGGAAGCTTAGTATGCGGAAACTGTCACATAGCCCATCGATTACTCAAATAAAAATGTGCGTGCATATCTATTGTTCCTAAACGATATCTTTCATGTGTCAGACATTTGAGTTTTTTCAAACCTAAAACCATTCTATCGAAAAAGAAATGATTGAGAAAAGATCTCGTTTTAATTTTAATCACGCTCTGTAAGGATACAAGTTGACATGTTGCTTATTATTTTAAAGTGAGAACTCATTAATTCTAGTAGAAAAATATGTCTCACTGCTTACTCTTCCCTAATCTTCTGTTTCTACGAGTCCCGAAGGTGATCAAATAGAAGTAGAGTACGTCCAAACGTGTTAAAGTTTCTCTCTTTACCATTAAAAAATTTCGAGATGCCCCGAGTAACCGAGTATACCAGTTTGTAGAGCAAGTTCTGCTCTATCATTCCCTATATGTCTCCTGTTCTGGGAATTTCAA